GGATTTCTTTAAGATTCTTTAGGATTCTTTTAGTATTTTTTTAGGATTTCTTTAAGATTATTTTGAGATTCTTTGAAGGTTCTTTTGAATTGCTTTGCAATTTTTTTTGAATTTCTTTGTGTTTTTTTCATAATTTATTTCAAAAATAAAAATAAAATAAAATAATAATAATTAGACTTAATTGATGCTTAATTATATTTGTTAAGCTTCTATAGCAATTTATATATGATTTTATTAGAGTAATTGGGACTTGTTGATGCAAATTCTTTTTATCTTCCTCAGCCAAGTACTCCACGTATTTTCAAGCAAGACTTCATATAATACAACAGTGGACTATGGTACTTATAATAAATCATTAAAATTTTTAAATATGTAGCCATATTGTGGATTTGTAATAGATACATCTGAGTAGTTAACATGGATTTTCATCTTAATTTTTATAGTATTATTGTTAGTACTACTTTTTAGTAAGTAATTATTAGATAAAATGCTTCATCTTATATATGCAATGTGCATGGGAGCCAGTATTAGAGTTTATTTATTTGCTCAATTTTTTTTTAAGCTACTATTTTATAATTTTTGCTTATAAAAACTATAATATATAATCAAGTATTCATAATTTGCACATATACAAGATATCCTTAGCTTCTTTCAAATTTAGGTTTTCAAGATATTGGTCAATCAAGTTGTATTGAGTTATTTATTTGGTAAAAGAAAGACAATTAAAGTACCCAATTGTAGCAAGCTAAATCTTAATAATATTATTCTTCAATGATATATTGATTAGTTTTGAAGAATCATATTAATTGTAAGAAATATTCATATTTACTAATATATCTATTTAGATTTGTAGAATTAAAAAGAAATAAATAAATGTATATTAAATTATTAATATATTATTGAGAAGCTTCATAGAAGCTTTTTAGACTACGTATGTTTATATATGATTGATAAGTTGACAACTTTGCGATATGTTAGTACAAATTGGCCATATGGCACACATGTTGGAAACTTACTTTATAAATTAGACATGTATCTTTTAATTTGAATACCTATCATATGGCCTATTGAACATTGCCACATAGTTCTTTAATAGATAGTATATATAGAGGCAAGAATGGGGTCTTCTTATTTTCTTATAGTTACTAAAAAATATTAAAATTTTAGATATAAAAGTTTTCTTTTAAATATATTATGATAATTTGTTTGCCTATGCATATTATTTGTATTATTATATTATATGTTTTTATAGTATCATTAAAAAAAGATAGTTTTATTTGATATTCTTTAAACACAATGTATGGTTTATGTTGGTGATAAAAGATAATTTATTATAAACAAAAAGTACAAGGTATGTATTTTGTGTTAACTATTATAATATTAACAAAATTATCTTTAAAGAATTCTTGCAATTTTTAAATCTAAAAATAATAAATTAGTTTTAAAAATTAATTAAATTAAATTATTTACATATATAAAATAATTTTAAATTTTAAATTTTTATTTTATTTATATATATATATATGATATTTATATTATATTTATATATATTTATAATTATTTTTAATAATTTTTATTCAAATGTAATATAAACTCTATCACTTTTATTCAAAAGAAAATAATTACATGTACTTAAGGGAATTTAGGGTAGCTTCAAGGATTTTTTTTAATTCTACAACTACTATTGGATATCTACAATCACTTTTAAAAAAAATTGATAGTATAGTTTTTCCTCAAATAATCAAAGCTAAATCTTTTATTATATTTTTTTAAAGATTTTTTTGTTTAATAATATATAAATATAAAATTGTATAATAAATTTTATTTTTTTCAGTTGAATATTTTAACTGATTTTTATGTTATTAGGAGATTAAAAAATAAACTACCTAATATGATTTCAATGGTTTTATGTAAAGATTGTGTGAACACATAGGCAATTATTAGAAATCTAAGATATTGAATTAAAGCATTGCAAAAGAGAAGATTTGTTGCCTATCCAATTTTAGAACACTAATTTTTTATAATTTATTTTATAAATAAATAAATTACTGAATTATTCTTATGTTAACCTAAAATTTTATTTCTTCTCTATCTATGATATGTGGACTTGAATTATTTTCTTATACCAATTTACTAGATGTTTTATATTAAAATTATTAAAAAGAAAATAGCATTAAATTTTAAGATTATTATTTTTATTATTTTTATTACTATTAAGATTATTTCATTAATCTTAATAATAATCTTAATGCAAATAGCATTAAATTTTTAATTTGGTTATTCAAAAGCTAAAGTATATATATATATATATATATATATATATATATATATGTAATCCTAAAAAAACATAACTTCTAATTTTATTTATTAACCTGAAATCAAAATAACAATTATAACTTTTTGGAAAAGAATGTAAGCTTTTTTTTTACAAAATATCTCAAAAAGATAAATTTCTTTCCTTGCAAGGATTAATATATCTAAGTTTTATTCTTATTAAACAAGAGTGTCTTAAAATAGCCTTTAAAGATAGTTTTTATACTACAACCTACACCTAATATATATACAATTTTAAAAAGACCATTGTAATTAGTTTTTTATTAGCTTTCACTGTGCTAATTTTAGTATTTTTTAATTTCATTTTTAAAACTTTTCTTTCTAAGAATTATCTAATACCTTTTAGTTTTTTAAAAAATATCTATAATAATTTAAAGAATCCATCATTTTTTTTCATTATCATTTTTAATGTGATCTTAACATCATATATATTTAGAAAAGTATATATAAATATTTTTTACTAAAACCTCTAAAATTCCAATCTCAAGGTAAGACTAATTCATTGCATGTTTATGATTTTTTATAACCAAATCTTAATTACATTAAATTTTAAAAAAAATATCTCTTACACACTTTATGTAAAAACTATAATATATACATATATATATATATACATACATACCTTGGTAGCTAGATTATAGAGATTTTAAGGTTTGAAATTATAGTGCTATCATCTTGTTTTGATGAAGATTGTAATAATAAAGTTTAAAATATTGTCTTATTTACATTACATTAAAAGTGGTATGACATGTGGATAAATAAGTAAAAAAATATTATTTTTCTGGCAAGTTATTTAATATGTTATATTTACATCAACAAGTTGCATGTTGCTAAGAATTAGAGAATAAAATAGAGAATTAGAAAAAGAAACATCAGGAATAAATTAACAAAGGTTCTTTATTAAAATTTTTGCTTAAATTTTTTTTTTTCTCTATTTTGATTTAACTATTCAAAATACAAAATAAAAAAAATTACAATAACTAATGGAATTAATTCTTTCATTCTTTTATGTTTGAAACTTAGATTAAGATTTTAGTCCAAATTCAAACAATAAATGTTATCAATATATTGATAAAATTTATGATATTATTTATTGTTGATTTAAAAAAGATTCACAATTACAAATAACCATTTTTAAAACTTGATTTAATTCTCTTGTAGTTTCCAACATTTTTTTTAATATATATATATATATATATATATATATATATATATATATTGTAATGTATTATCATTGCTATGTGCTCATTTTTATTTTATTTATATTTTTTATAGATTAACATACATTAAATAAAAATAAAAATAAAATATAGTCCAAATACAATGTATCAAATATTGATTAATAACTGAGAATAGCAAAGCCTTTCTCATTAATTTGCTCAAAATCTTATATTATTAGAAATAAAGAAAAACTATGATTTATTTATTGTTTTCTATAGCCTACAATTCAAAGCAAAGAAATTCACGTTAAGATCCATGAAATATTCTCACAATTTCAATGTTACCAAAATATCGTTTCACTAATTTTACAGCGACGTAATTAATCACAATGGGATTTATCGCCACAACAATTTCGCATTCTTCAAACAGGGTTTACTCAGAATAATCAATTCTTCTGCAACTTTAATTGTGTCATTTGGTGTTTGTGATGGTGCTTAAATATCTTGGTCTTGCGACATTTGCTGACTACAACATTCAATGAATCAATAGTTACTGAATCTGGACTCTACCTTCCTCTTCTGCTACAACTACTACGACTGCTGCTACTACAACCCTTTTTTTTTTAAAAAAAATATTCGGCAACTTACAATGTTGATATAAATGGAATTGTTTTTTATTTGAAGGAAGAAAAAGGGAGCAAAGTGACTGATATTTAGCAACTTGCAAGAGCTCTTTAGAATGGCCCAGGCTGCTGGGACCCCAGAGTCACGAGGCCCTCGTTAAAAAAATGGCTGCCTGTCCAAAGACTGAGATCTTTGTGCTGCTTTATTGCAAGACGAAGTCTTCTGCGAGCACAAGCGTTCTAGCGTCGGGACTGAAACAGACAGGGTCAGTGCGTGACAAGCAGAAGCAGGATCAGCAGCAGCAGGATGAGAATGAGGAAGATCAGGGATTAGGGCAGGCATGGGAGGGAGGGAGCAGTTGCCATTCTTTTGGGCTCTTTTGGGCACAAAGTTTGCACTGTACATCCGCCGGAATACTACCCACATCAAAAAGCGAGGGATGTGTGCATTACATGGCAAAAGCAAAGCGGCCGAAATCCATTTGCAGCCACTAGTTACTGAGGGTGGATATGAGCCACCAGCTGAAGATATTCCAAGGCGAGGAAAGGGTCGCGAGTGATTCGAGAAACTTCAGGAGAAAAGTACACTGCCTTGTAGGATCAAGCTTGTGGCTCAAAAGTGTTCAGAAAACTAGAGGCTTGCAATCCCTGAGTGCGTGTGGGAAGACAAGTAGCCTAGACCACCCTCAGTAAGTAGCAAAGAGTTAAATTATCTGATTCCGCTGCGTCAGAAGGGACGTGGCCACCCAAGTGCAAACAGCGCCGAGAAGAGGCCATCAATCGCGATCGAAGTGGCCAGAAGATGCCCAGGGATGGCCGTGCTGCCAGGGTTTACTTACCTCCCTCCCTCCCTCCCTCCCTCCCTCTTTAGCTAGCCTCCGAATCGACACACACATCCCACAAAGCCACACCCTTCTTCACCAAACCAACCAAGTTACTATCCCAGCTCCACCCTCCCCACTACTCCTGTGAGTAACCTGTGCCGCTAATCCATCACCCCTGAACTTACCTGCCTGGACTGACTGCAGGAGTAGAAACCCACTACTAGAGGTGGAGATGGGTTACTGAACTGGTGAACAACACACACTCACACACCGTTCTCCAAGGGTCCCCATGCACGATTCATCTTTCTTTTCTTTTTCTTTTCTTTTCTCTCTCTCTCTCTCTCTCTCTCTCTGTTTGTTACCATGAAGTGATGGATTGGCTGGGTGGAGATTGTGGAATGATGAGATGGATTTTGTGATTTGGAGGTATTGTTGTGTTTGGGTATTTTGGTGGTGTGGTGAGTCACGGAGGGAGTAGGGGATCTAGGGGACTGATCCAAGAAAGGGGCTGTCAACGAGGGAGACGAGGGAAAGATAGAGAAAGTGAGTGAGTGTGTGTGTGTGTGTTGTAGCAAGAAGCGCCGTCGTAGAGGTGTACGTGGAAGTGAAATGGAAGTGCTGGCCACAATGAGGCGGATTCACTGAACAGTCTGATCCACAATATTTCCCCCCCCCCCCTCCCCCGGAAATCAGTGTGGGGAAGATAATAATTAATCATGTGTCGCAGGTGGGAAAGGAGACTCAACCCCCCTCCACGCAGGAGGTGGATGTTAATTTAGCGAGAAATAGCTGAAAGCTGCAGGGATCAGCAGCTGGCAGAGAGACTCAGGAGGAATGCCAGCAATGAGAGGAAGCTGTTGGAACCCGGAAGATGGTTCAGATGGGTAGGAGAGGGAGAGGGGGAGAAACATGAGTTTGTGTCGAAAAGGTTCTCATCGTGGCAAATAGCGAATGAATGTGATGGCAGTGAAAAGTTGGAGGAGATTGTGAGGGGCCAAGTAAAGTTGCTTACCGATGGGATATACTGTTGTTGTTGATGATGATGATGATGATGATTATAAGCAGACTCCGGCGGCATGACATGGCTAGCGAGAGTCTGAATGGCGTGGTAATAAAGGGTTAATTGGCTCGGAAAAGGTGGTTGTTTGAGCGGGTAAAACGGAAGCTAGCCGGGAGGAGAATTAGGGTGGGGTGCTGAGATAGGCAGAAGTGTAGCGAGACGAGAAAGAGAGAAAGATAGAGAAGGGCATCGAAATACCAAATTAATGGCCGTTATGGCCGGCATGTTTTGGGTTGGCACGAGAGCTTAATGAGTGGCTGGCCAGTAAGTGCTACATACTAGGCCAGGGGAGTACATGTCAGCTCGAGAGTCGTAGAGCTTGAGCAGATTTCAGTGTGGGGCCGAGGATCGGCACAAGTTTGCATTTAAGGGCCACAACTGGTGATCGAATATATGTGAAGACTGGGTTGGGTACTGCTTACAGTCGCAGGTTTTTTGCAGTGAAGAGAGTGGAGAGCAGAGATATCGTTAAGCCCCCCTCCCTCCCCCCTTTTTGAGTCCTCATCTTCGTCGTAGCCGTTCCCCTGAAGGATTCGAAAGCCTGCCTGCTGATCTTGATGCATCCGGCATGAGTGATTGCCTCGTGTCTGCATGCCGCTTATGTTAAGACATCCAGTTTTATCGAGGTTTTTTTTAACGTCACTCTTCCCAAGTATTCGAGGACCTTACGAAGCCGATTGCATCTTCGATTGGCTGCTCTATCATTTGCCTCAAACTCATTTTGGAAAGCATTCGCACCAGTAAGAAATTCTAACGAGACAGTTGCCTTGAACGTGGTCATTTAATGTGAAGAGAGCACACAGCATGGATTGAATTCCTTTGCCGTGCTAGCAGACCTTGCTCCCAACTTCAATGAGCCTATTTTGTTGCATGTCGTCATGATGTCTCACGCTTTTCTCCTGAACCGTGTTAGCTGTCGAAACTGGTCAGTTGCTGTCATATCTACAATGGATCATACTGTCCAGCGCATAAAACAGACATGCCCAAAATCATGCTGTTTGTACCGATTACTGGTTATGACTCATAGCGAATGTAGATTTCGCGTCGACGCCGCACTTGGTCATCAACTGGCTTGGACAAGTTGGACATATAATGATGCTAGAATCAGTTGTGTCTAATTCCTATCGTTTTCTTTTTTCTTTTTTCGTAACCTTCATGTTTGAGGGTGATGCGATGTGGACAGTGGGCAGCTTTGATCAGCTAATAGCTTGGGAAGCGAACTTCAACATATAAAGTCCAACTTAGTAATATATATTTTTCCGCGTAGTTTTGAGTACGAGCTCGCCACTGCGGTTTGAGCAATGCTAAGAGTTGATGTAAATATGTATCACCTTTTGGAGTTTCTACGCTTTCTTAGGAGCGTTCAGTAACGGACTTGTGGGTCAAGCTTGAGGACTAAATCCTTGAGGTGCTGAGTCCTGGCGTCGGCTTCCTGAGGGACGGCACACGAGGTGAGACACGACCAAGCCGGATGGATGCTGATGATGCGGTCAGTCTCCAGATCATGAGTGTCCTTGCACCGGCATATAATTTGCCTTGGTCACTCGCATTCAATCTTCCCTCGTTTTCCAGACGTGCCCAACTTGATGATCCTTTCGTCTCCTAAGGATTGGCCTTGCCTGTTGGAACATGTGGCGAGGAACCGTAGGTGATGTCTTCTCATGGAAGCTACTCAGGCAGCAATAATCACAACAAGAAAGACTGGGGACAAAGTGGGTACCAGCCACAGTATTCGGGGACTTACAACAATGAATCGCAACCAGTCCAAGAAGGAATGATCACCCAACCTTCTGTGGGCCGCTTCACGGAGAAAGAAAAAGCCAGTGCCATGTTTGTCCGCAAACCGGCTCCCCCAGCATTGGTGCCCGCCGGGCAGAGCGGCATGGGGGGGTCAGGGAGCAGCAATTCAAGTGGCATTGTAAATCTAAGAGCAGCCCCACGTGCTGAGGGAAAGGTTAGCTGCAATTTCAACGTCGCACTTTCATCATCTGCCTTATAAACACACACGGTTTCTTTTTGTCTCTGCGGTGTATGGGAGGGATATGCAATGCTTTTGCTGGTTCATACTTGGTCTGGTCTGACATGTGGCCGCATATCTGTGCAGATGAACAAGAATACCACGAAGGGAAAGAAGTGACGAAATTTTTTTTGTGGCCAAGTAGAGAGAAGATTTTTTTTTTTTTTTTTTTTTTTTTTTTTTTGAGTTCCATGACACGTCGATGGTAATGATGTTGAGCGAGTTAATTTATATAAAACAATCTACTTGGTTACATGCAGTTTTGTGAGTGCAGTTGCTAAAGTAAACCTATACAAATAAGCGCTGGCATAGCATGTATGCCTTTTTCGTGATTCATTATGTTGGGAACGGAATAAATTATTCATTGTTGAGTTTTGAAAATTCATTTTACATTTTATTCATGGAGTCTCATACATATATATATATATATATATATACACATACGTGTGTGTGTATGTCGTTGTTGTTGTTGAAATGTGCACAGAAGTTTCTCTAAACATTTCAGGATTGAAAAAATGTATCACTCAAATTTCAGTACTTCCGCGATTCTGATATTATGCCTTCCATACAATAAGATACTCAATATTAACCCCTTTACATGAACCTGTTGCAAATCCGATAAAATCTACACTGCACGTAGCAAGCTTACATTATTAAAAACTGGAACAGTCAAGTGCAAGCCTGAGTGATGCGAAATGTGAACGTACTGTGAGAAGATCCGTGCAGGAAACAGATACTATCATGTGAGCCCCATTCTCTTGCATACATCGATAGTACGCTTTATTTCTCACAAAAACAATTTATGTCCCAGGCTTGTATTACACATTCCCCGTGTGCCTTGTAGTGCACTACAGCGGTTTGAGTAGTACCTGACCGACTTCTACCAGACTTCACCGTAGAACCTGCGACACCTTTCACACGTAAACCAACCGCTCCGCTTCACGACAAGAAGTATACGACGTGAAGACCTATTGGTTAATATTATCAGCTGCAAACCCACAGGAGCTGATGACAACCATTGAATTCTGTTCCATGAACATTAATCTGGAAACAGATATACAAGTCACCTCATTGAGAATTAAAGAAGGTCGAAAACCAGAATCGAAACCAGAGAGAAACAAATTTGGAGGTAAAAGAAGACAGTCTCTTTCAAGTAAGAGACTTCTGGAATCCACATCATCATTGTAGCTAAGCTCTTGAGGAGCACTGAGAGCCTCATTTCGTTTAAACTCATTGTCATGCTTTTAATAACCTGCCCCTTAAGCACCGAAAGATAAAGGTAGTAAATTAAGAGATGATCATGACCATACAAATCGACCAAGAACAATTAAATTCCACCTCCAACTCTGGCGACCGCATTCCGAAACTAAGGAATAGAACTTGCGAATTCATTCCACTCTATTCAATTCGTCCATCCCACATATCACAATGTAACCATTAGTTCCAATGTCCGTGGACTCTGAAGCGGTGACATCTGGCGACTTCTGAATCCCCTTAGCATCAACTTCAGCGAAAAATTCGCATAAGCTTACTCCCAAAATACACCAGTTCGGACGGTTCCATGCCTCAACTTCGGGTCCACTGTTGAGTCAAACATCATAACAGTTGATTTCTGTTTCACAGAATCTTAATTCCAATTTAAAATCAGGAATTAGTCATTGTGAGTTGGTATACACGCGGCTTGATCGGATATAGTGATTAAAAAGAAGAAAGTGGTAGAGAAAGTGGCAGTTCGAAGAATACCATACGTTCACAAGGAAAAGAGCTATGAAACGTCCTCTAAATGAGAACACGGCATTTGAATTTATCAATGACTGACAGTAGTGAAACTCAGGATTTCAAAACAAAATCCTCACACCAGAAGCCATTGTCTTGAAAGATTGACGACAAGACCAGAACTTAACACGATTCAATTCCTCAGATTGAAAAACGTAAAAACCTTAGTGATAATGGAGAGCTCTGCTCTTTCCAGTTCTACAACTGTTCGATCGTTTCTTGCCTTGTGAGACGAATGTGAGCCCTTGACTAAAAATCGTAGAATCTTACAAAGTTGCTCCACACAGATAAAAACTTCTTTGAGAAACCAATGCACCATCAAGAATTGAAAAAAAATTGCATCAACAAGTCTTAGGAAGGAAAAATTCAAGACACCAACAGCCGCCAAGAAATTTTACAATCTTGAGTGAATTTAAGAACAACCATCTCGAAGTTCCAACAATCTCCACAGAATCTGTATGATTTTCAAAACTAATCCGCACAAGGTTCAATCCTAAAAAATGCATCACTCTCGTTGAGAGCCTATGAATCGCAGAGCCCTTCAAAAAAGAAAAAGGAAAGAATAGCACGTCTAAAAACAACATACCCTAGAATCATACCAGAAAGTCCATATAAGAAACATGAACAGCGCTTCCGAGCACCGATTTCTCAAAATTTCAATCACCGACCACCGAGACACACCTCAATCAACACCAAGCCAAGCCAGGAGCGAATCTCCACTCACCTTACAAACACCTGCAACTCAACCTGCAGCCGACTCCCGAAAACAATCACAAGAACAGCAAGAAAGGGATGAAAAAACAAAGCGGCACCGCACCATTTCCAACTACCGTTTGTTTCCCGATGCAGCACAGTGCTTTGAGGTCTTCCTAGGCCTCGCAGCATCGCAACTGAGAAGACATTACCGCACGGCGTGTTGTAGCCTCAAGGCCCTGTGCCGAGCGAGGCCAGAAAGCCATTGCTGCCAAAGCTCAAGCTCATTCTCAAAGGAGATGGATGTACGACAACAACACTCCCTTGTCCACTTTGCTGTTGTCCTTTGCCAATTGGCACATCGATACCCTCTAGAACCCGGTCATAAATGGGTCCGGGTGCCGGCCGTCGATAATTATACCCAGGAAGAGAGAAATCGAGAGTTGGGGGAGTCAGGGCATTAAAAGCTCTGTTGTGCAGGGCGTCCTACTTAAATTACTAATGCATTCACACTAGTTTTCAGAGCCTTCCACACAAGTGTTGGTTTGACGTCAAGGTGCAATATAAATTACTTGTAACAGTAAGGATTTCGGAATTTCTTCAATTTTGATACATAAACACATTTTTACCATTTTTTTTCTTATGGGTAAGTGTGTGTGTGTGTGTGTGTGTATGTGTATAAATAATATTATTCATCAGTTGAATTTTGGTTCAATATCAACCAATTTATATCTGTGCAAATCCTTTGAAAATAAAAATTACCTTGTTAGTGCCCAGACATAAATATTACCTATATATAGATGACTTAAAATTGTGCAATGCAAAATTTATTAGTACCATTTAGAATGAAATGTTTGCTACAACAACTAGATACTTCAATTATTTGCTAAAAATTTAAAATTAAGTGTGACATATATATATATATATATATATATATATATATATTCTTTTTGTTGTTATAATTTATCAGAAACTCAACTTATTAAGACTCAAATTTGAGTGCTGAAAATTTTATTGAACACAATAACTTAGTAACACATTTTAAGTTATGCCCTTACTAGCTATTTCCTATTTGAAAAACTAATTAAATTATTATGTACCTAAATATTCCTTCACTAATTATTTATAGTGAAAGATACCATAAAAATATTTTAAAAATTAAATAATATTTTTCTGTTGTTTGCTATAAGTTTAGATTATTAAAAAATTTGAAGGTTTCATCATTTACAATAAAGCTTATTCATTTATTTATTTATTTTTATGCATGGAATAATATTTAAAATATATATTTTGAGTGTGGTTATATATATATATATATATATATAAAACTTATAATTTTATTTTAGAAAATTAACTTCATTTAATCTAAAAAATCAAGAGCTGTACTAAAAACTGACAATAAAGTAAAACAAAAAAAAAAAAAAAAATGTTATAAAAGTCGTCTATAAGCCTCAAGATTTTTAAAGACGTTTTTATGTTATACTTTTTTAATTAGTGTATGAAGAGATAATATTGATTTTTTTTTTAGTTTTTAGAATAACACTCTTTGTATTCTGAGCGTGGTTTAGCGCTGTCAAATCTCCTTGTATCTATTGAAAAACATTAAAACAACATATATTACTTAGAAATCATATCCAAAATCATTTTTTTTTTTTTTTTTGGCAATTCTGGTATGCTGGGTATGTGAATCTAAATAGACATGTCGAAATATAATTAGTACATTTACAACTAAGAATAAAAAGAATATACCCAAAATTTACATTTAAAAAATGGAGATAATTACAAATTATATAATAAATTTATTTATTGTTATATATAATATTTATTATCTATACGTGTATATATAATGTTTAACTCGAGAATCGATGTTCATAAAACAATTCAGATATAATTACACTCTATCTTCTAACCAGATTAATATATTTTTAAACCAATAGTATCTCTTTTAATCTAAAGTTTGAAACATGAAAGTTGAAAAAAATTCTTCAAATAATCACATCTTCATATAATAAAACCACACACCTGGATTTACATATAAACAATTATTTTTGTTAATTCAATGTTTTTTATTTTTTTTAATCATTTCATATTTAAAACAAGCTCATGCTTTGTTAATAAACTGGTATGTCTATATGCAAAAATAGACTTGGTTATTGATTTTTCTCCTTATAGAATTATATTTTCTTGATTACCTAAATCACCAGCAATAAAAGATAATAAAATAAAACTTAACAAACAAAAACATGTAATTTTTATGTTTTATATGACTTAATATTATTAGTAAACACTACTTACAAAAAGCAACACATATATTATCAATTTTAAAATTTAAAATAGTTTTTTTTTATTTTTTATTTTTATTTACTTATTTTTATTTTATAAAACTAAGAAATCATACTAGACTAGCAATTTTAAAATTTTCATTTCTTTCCATCTATATATATATATTTATATATAAATATGTCTATTTGATATAGAGATAGAAACATATATAGAAACACAAATGCATACACGATCTCATACCACAAAAAAGGACATTCACTTTTTGGCAGACAAAAATAGCAATCGTACATATATATATATATATATATATATATATTTCCCACTTGTGCATTTTTCTATTGTAGGACGATATGGGCAGGTAATATTCAACAATAATAAATAACGACGAGGGTAATATACATGGTGGGTAATTTCCCACTTGCTCAGTCAGGTTCACTACACTCTTCGGGGTGACAATAATGACCACAATAAATAAAAAAATATCTGCCGTTATTATCTATCCCACTTGCTCATATTCCTCCTCCTCTAAGGGCTACGGCTGCACTCCTCCTCCTACAGAGAGGGTTGATAGTAGATACCCACCAAGCAATAATAGTAATAACAATAATATTATTAATTCATTTGCAGTCATGTTCCACTTGCTCATGGTCCTCCTCTAGAGTGAGAGATCATGGATAGGGTTGGGCCATTCATTCATTGTGAAGGGGCGGAGTGGAGGGGAGGGGAGGGGAGGGGGCGGGAGTGACATGCAAGCTTCAGAATCCGACGTGCCATGCACGGCATGGTGACAGGAGCACAAGTGGGTATGGACCAGCGGCACCCCATGGCCGTGCCCCACGAGGGGCATGGAGGCTAGGCTGCTTGGGGCCGAAGGAAGGAAGGAAGGAAGTGGGGTCGCGGAGGATATGGCAGCGGAGTACGCGACGGCGAGGATGCGTCGTCGTCTTCGTCGTCGTTGTTGCAGGAATCTGATTCCGAATCTGGTGCAGCTGCAGTTGTGAGAGAGTCTTGGATCTGTTGGTGAGCGTTGTTGCGCTGCGGCTAGCGGGTTGCTCATCCGTAGATTGATTCGTTTTGTTTTGTTTTGTGTTGTTGTTGTTGTTGTTGTTGTTGTTTTTTTTTTTTTTTTTTTTTTTTTTTCTTTCTTTCTAGCGCGAGGGGTGTTTAGTTGAGTTGCATTGGGTTCCGCTTGTGGTGTGCTGTTTTGGGAGCTAGCACGGGAAATTGTTCGATCTCTGGTTACTTTTTGCCGGAGTCGTGTGTGAGGATTGGGGCGTGCTTCATGTGATCTGCAGTATCTGACAACGATTCCTTGCGCCGGATTGCAGGTTCCTGCCCTTGTGGACCTCAAGTAGCGAAGTAGCAATGTATTCTCCTTCGTCATTTGTGTGGTAGAAGTAGTAGCGGTAGGCCGCAGCTGAAGGTTTTGCACGTCAATTAGGGAAGATATGGAGGCTCCCTTCACCACAGGCAGCACTTCTCAGGTCTAGTCCATTCCTGAGCTTCTGCTTTTTACAGAGGAGGTATTCCGCGATCGAAGGAGAAGAGGGAAAGGGGCGGGAGGGAATACTCGCATTGAATGGTCCATGCTCCACGAAAGGAAAGCATTCGGTGCCATGATGTTACCAGGTATCTAGCCATAAATTCTAGCGTTCGTGGGATTATGAGGGACATAAGCGGAGGAGATTATCATCCTTAGAGTTCAAAGGAAGGGAAGGTATTCAGGGTAAATGCGAGGGCCGGTGGTTCTGGATACGCACACCCGAATAGGTGATCATCTACATTCCCCAGCTCCCCTCGCATCTCCGTGTTTTGCATGAATGAATTTCTAAGAGTTCAAGAAAGCAATAGAACTACTTTTGATTGCGCATGTTACATCAGATGATATGACGGGGGATGCAGCGACATTTGCCCTCCATCAATCGGGAGTCAAGGAGCCGATTGCTATGGACGATGAAGCCGAGAGTCGGCCCCCTCTCTTGTCCATCCCCTCGTTTCAAAGATTTTACAACACCTGGGTACAGCAGGAAGATAACCTTCTTTCTGAGCTGAAGAGGTCACTGGAGAACCCCAGAAATGAGCAGGAGTTTGCTAGATTGGTGAGGAAGTGCTATCAGCTCTACGCGGAGGCCGCGCATGCTAAGATCCGAGCAGCTCATGAGGATGTCTCCTACATAACCGCAGGGACATGGAAAACCCCGTTCGAAGCAGGGATGATGTGGATGGGTGGGTGGCGCCCCACTGCAGCAATAGTTTTAACCTATTCCTTAATGGGGATCCAGATGGAGAGCGAGCTGGAGCGGCTGCTGGAAGGCATCACCCTTCCGTCCATGGCAACCCTTTCAGCTAAGCAGCTTTCAAGGTACACCACCTATACCGAGTACTCCATGCAGTGCACCAGCTTTTGTTTAAAGTTTAAAATTTTGTAGCTTTCATTGTGTTGTTCAGTTGATTGATTAGCGGTGCCATGTCTAGGTCTTCTCATGTGAAGATCATAATCGCTTTCGAGGTTAGGAAAACATGTATCCTGCCTGTGGGTCTAAGCACTAAGACCTCTTGCAGGATCTGTGTTCGTTTTCTCATTCTTTTCTGTGTCGTTTGAGTGTATTGTTTTCAGGTTGAATGTCATGCAGCAACGCACTTCTTCAGCTGAGGACGAAATTTCAACCCGTCTCTCTGTGCTGCAGGTTTCAATGCTTTTAATGCTTTTAATTTTCATTGAAGTGCATGATTCCGGTTGTAGACCGCCATGAATTTTATCTTCTAGAAGACCATGGGCTTGTATATCTACTTGGCTTTGCCCGCTTCGTTTAAGGGGACTTATATTAGCCTACAGATGTTGGTGGCAGATCAGCAAACGACTCGGGCGACCACAGCTGATCCTCCTCCTAGTGAGAGCTTTAACATGGCAGAAATAAAGGAAGTAATGAAGTCTAAGCTAGTTGAGCTTCGGCATTTGTTCATCGAAGCTGAAAAGCTGAGACTGCAAACCCTTCAAGAGCTTTATTCTGTACTGAGCTCCATCCAAGCAGCTCAATATTCAGTCGCGGCGCTAGAAATGGCTAAAGCTATCTACAAGCTGGGTGAAATATTCCAAGAGTCTCATGCTGGAGACGCGAATGCACGGTCTTCTGGACATCCTGGAGTGAATATTTGGGAAATCGCATCACAAGGAGATGTGAAGAAACTAAGAGAGGCCCTGGATATGTGTCCAGATCCATCTAGCACAGATTATGAAGGCCGAACGCCTTTGGTACGTCAGTGTGGCATTAGATATTTATTCTTGTTCATTTTATCTGAGTTTTTCACTTGGATACAATTTATCCGATTTGATTTTCACATAACATACTTACCTGGTCAAGTAGTGCGGTGTTGGAAGGTAACAAGCATGTGGGTGGCAGCGGTCTTCATTAGTTTGCCAAATAGCCTGGAACTTTACAAGCTTTGGATTTGTTTTGACTTTTGGAGTTGGGGTTTTTCGGTGGTGAGTAGCACCTTGCTGCAGGGAAAGGCCACTCAGAGTGTGTAGCTCTACTCGTGGAGAGAGGTGCTGAAATAAATATTAAAGGTGAGACCAGACTGGTAGGAAATTATCATTCTTCACGTCATTTTCCAAATTTGGTTCAATCGTCTTTGTCACTGAGCACTGACGACTGCCTTTGCATGATTAGATAATGATGGAGTGACCCCACTTTTGGAGGCGTTGAAAGGAGGACACGATTGGACTGCAAAAATACTTCGTAACAATGGAGCGAAACCTGATGTGAAGGTTACCTCTTCTTTTGCATTGCGTTTTTACTTTTCGAATTTTGCTTTTTAAGCATTGTATTTCACATTCGATGCTTTGGGTCTTCGAGACGCCTCTCATCTGTTCTTGTTTATTATTCTGGTCAGGACGCTGGCAACGAGCTGTGCAAGGCAGCAGCCTGTGGTGATATGGAGTTCGTAGAGAGACTTGTGAAGGCAGGGGTGGATCCTAACGAGACAGATTATTCTCAACGGACCCCGCTGCACATTGTAGCAGCTGATGGTACAGCCAAAGATGCCGAGTTTCTCGTGCACAAGGGCGCTGATGTTTTTGCCAAGGATCGGTATGCCCTAAATTTCCCGTACTTCTCCACGCGTTTGAATGAGCATTCTTTAGAAATAGCTAAGATCATGCTTTCATGCAGGTCAGCATTGAAATCCTTGATAACCTGCATCTGCCATACTTGCAGATATTTATTCACACATCCTTGATCGTCTGGGTGAAGTCGAATATTGTCCTAGACATTTGCAAGGTCAACAGTATAGGTTCACTAGTTATAGATGAGTATTATCCCTCGCAGATGTTGGCTGCGTTCATTAAGAAGTCATTTCGCATGTCCAATACGGTAATGATGAGAAACCTACATGTGTAATCCTCCTAGTGTATATATTTAAATGGGTCTATTTTGAAATTTATTCGGTCATAGGGAGCGAAAAACCTTACAAACCTCTATTATGGAGCATTGAAACCAGTTCTATTGGCAAAGCGAAACGGCACTAATCTTGTAGTCAATAACAAATCCGAATGGATTTTGCAACAGTCATGGATACACACCCTTGGATGAAGCACAAGGTAGCGATAATAAAGCCACTTTGAGGGTTTTGGAAGCTGCGGTTGCTCTACGTCAGCAACAGTTGGATGACGAAGAGGACTATTCTACTTCTGATGATAATAGTAGTTCATCTCCTTTGGACGACGCGCAATGTGATTCGGACATGGAGTTGACAGAAGGTGATCAATGGTGGGTGCCAAATGTTTTTCACACAACCTTGTCAAATGTTCTTACAAACCGCTTCGGCTACTTTCATATTCATTTTGGTAAATGCATTTCATAGATGAGCCACACTGTCGTGGTAATGGCTTAGAAAATGTTCGTGTATGAAGTTATTATCCTCCAACTTTGACTTAGTTCTACTTGTTCGTCTACAGGTCCATGTGCTGAAGTAGATCAAGTGAAGAAAACTGTACGGGTTAGGATGAGTACTTCAAGGAATCTTGATCAGAATAGTGATATCATGCGGGTTTAATGACCTTAGATAGGTCCTAAAGCAGTAGTGTTTATGTCTTGTAAAGCTAGGGTTGAGCTCTCTCCCTGAGTTGGGTATACTACATAGAATAATCCACTTAAGAGCTTAGGTTGTGCATCTTTCAGGTTTAGGGTAACAAATGGTGAGTAACAGGTCGTGCTCTTGTCTACATATGTAGTTTGCAGGAGCTTCTTCTTAATTGGCTCCTTGACATGGGAATGCGTTTACTTTACTCAATCACTATGTTCTTTGACGCCAGTGTTCTGTATGATCTATGCCGTTTTGTGCATACTGGAGTTTATGACTTGAATGTATCAAAAAATGAGCACGTGCTGGAGTTGATAATTTATGCAGTCATGAGGATATGATTCCTTCTTCGTGAACTTTTGAAGATCTGATGTGGAGCGACACGTACGTAGGATACTGAATGAATTACTTGGTCGTTTCATGCTAACTTATGAAGAAACACAAAAAGTTTACAGATTCACAAATCCAAGGAAACTATTATCAAGTGATGATGAGTGACTCTTGCGTTAGACGCTTTATTGTTTGAAAGTCATTTCAGTTGAAGAAATTTGTTTAATCCTGCATTGCAAATAAGTTTAAGCCCAATGTCTGTTCCATCAGCCTTTGTTGGCTATTGGCGTGTCATCACCATCATGCGGTCAACTCTCGTGCCTTGTCAGAAAAATCAGGGGACACAAGTAATTGGAGGTTTTTGTCCACAATCGCTACTAAATCGTAAATAAATTCGACCAAGGCCTCCCACTTCATCACAATATCTCAACAATGGTGACTACTCTTGCTCCAGACAACAAGTCTCTCAGTTATTTCTTTTACCTGTATCGATAGAGATGGTGTCGAACTTGAATGACCAGCAGCGTAATCCAGAAAAGAAAAAGAAGAATCAAAGCAATAATTAATGAGAGCTTGGCCTGTATATGCCCTTCAGGTTCCATTGTTTAGCGGCTAGGCGGCTATGTTCGTAGCGACGATTCGTGGAAAAAGTCTGCCAGACCATGATTCTGCATGTCTTGCAACGCAAACTATGAAATACAGTCAAGAGCCAAGGTATACACACATTTCCAAAGGAAGTTCAGTTTGAGTGAAAGTTTTAATCTAATAGTGGAAATTTCAAGGGGAGATCACAAGTTCAGGGATCTCTCTTTTAGATAATTTAAGTTCATATAGTAATTAGACTATCCAGCTCAGCGGAACAACAATAGGATTCTCAATCTTAACTTTTTTACAATTTTACAAGTACCCTCATTGTTTCAGAGATGCTTCACAAATATTGAAATCATTTTACCTAGAATATAGTCTTCCCCTCGACTTCTGAACAGACATTGGGTCCAACACGTTCCCTGAAACATTCTGCAACAATGAGAATTGCTGCCTCAATTGAAGAATAGGCCGTAGCAGCTACTAAAAGAATTTCTTGTCATGAACTGTCATAAAAGCAACAACACGTGGGGTCTCCAGATTTTCCGTTTGAAGAATGCATTGGAGAAGACTCGCAACCCAAATGAATAAGAATGAGAACGGTGTTAACTTCTATCTGCATAATGTACTGAGATAATTGAACGAAGAGCTGACCAGTTGAAGTTGCAGATTTTCGCTGCTAATCTCGTCCAAAAATTTCAAGGAATGCTAAATTCCACACCCGCTCCCACATTGAAGTTCCCTGGTCCCTGGTCCCTGGTTTGTTTCACAGGAATCAAAGCCTTGCGTCAGTTCAATCGATGTTGAAGGATCGATAAATTCGCATGGTAAATAAAGTTCAAAGTGGAACCCTAAAAGCAATATTTTGATACCCAAGCTGGGATCCCGAAGAGAACCGTAAAAACGTTAGTTACCATCAACCCTTGCTCTAAAATATTCTTCATTCACTACGTTTCGATAATGAGAGATCCACTATGCGGAAGAAACTTACTGACACCATCGCACTCAAACGTACTTAGAATACAGTGGAATTCTGAAATCTAGAATGTGAATGATCGAGAGATGTTGAGCCTGGTGTGGTGGAATAGTTGTGATCAAGAACTATCGCATTGCAGGAAGGATTTTCACATTGCACCATAGCCTACCTCAATTCCACCACAACTAGCACTAAACGATTCCGAACAGGGTCGTATGTCACGCATCTTCACATCTAAACATCCCCCAGACATTCACAACACCACACAAATTCTCTACGATACAGTCCACAGATAATTGCGAATTTGGAAGCGCTACTAAAAAACTGGAAATCCTACAAACATGAAAACCGAGAAGATACAAGAAACGTTTTCAAATCCCAAGACAACAGCTCCAATCGAAATAAACTGCAGCCTGAAATTCGGGCAATAGCAAGACGTGGAAGAAGCGGAGAAGAGAGCAGTGCTACAGATGAGAGTCTGCTATCCTTTCGAAAAGGGTAATCTTTCCTCGAAACTGACTTCCGGATTTCATGGCATCAATTTGTGACAGCCAGCAGTTTTTTATATTCGTTACTTATTCCAAAATGCAAAACTTGGGACACAGTTTGCATGGAAAGTTGCTCCAATTCGGACAGTTGATGAAGAGAAACTTCGTGGAGCAATCATGTTTAGGAATGTTGCATTGATTCTGGGTGGATAGGTGTCAGAGATTTCACGGGGCTCTAGCATCGTGAACTTGCTACAAAGCACGTGGGAATCAGGGATAACAAGATTTGCAGGGTTTGTGAACTATTGCAAACAGGAGCGTGTTTCTGATTAAATTCCTTGTTAAGGGCAAGTCAGACCTGACAGGAAATTCCGTAGCCTGTTGGTCAAATGTTGTGAAACTTGATGCAGGCATTCCGATTTCGGAGATGGTTACGCTGCGCAGCGTGAGGAACGGAAACTTATCCATCCTCTACACTCACAAAGCTTCTCGAAGAATCTGCGGGGCTCCTGCGGATTTAATGGAAAAGAGAGACCAGAGCGAAATGTGTTTCAAAGCACAAAGATCGATAATACAATGTTTTTCTGCATTCCACAAGCACAACCATGGAAGAACATGAAGGCGTTAAATATCATTTAATGACCATTAAGACTTGAAATACCAGCGGGCCGCTACAAGCACCCATGTGTCTAGCCCGTTTAAGCGAGACTGTTCTCAGTTCATTGTCTCGGGATCGTCACTACGAGATGATGAAAAATCACACTACAGAAGACGTTCAACTTCAGGGCAACCGTTCACTATTTGATGCCTGATGTCTAAAAAATGTGCATCGTAAACGGGCGGCAACATGAGAAGATACGAGAGATATACAAGAGCATGAGTTTAAGGATCAAAATTGAAAATAATTGGAGTTTATGATACAATCGGTGAGTCGACGGCTTCAACTGTCCACATGTGGAATCCAGTTTAGGTTTCAGGAGCCTCATCGAGCAGTCAGCGTGGACGTCATTAAATTCTTGGATGCCATCATATTCTCCTCCCATTCCCTCGAAGCCATGTATATTTGTTCAAGACTAAGGGCTACATTTCGCATTGGCGGTCTGTCATCAGGTTTTGCTTCTACACATTTTTTGGCTACAACCGCAGCTCTATACGCAGCGTCCAAAGGAAAAGAATCTCTAAGCAACGGGTCTATCCACACTCTAACCCTAGCTCTAGGTTCAGGGTCCGAAAATATGCCAGCTATTACATTGGGTAATACGGTTTTCTTCACGGTATACTCACCTGGACTTTTCTCCAGCTTTACAGCTTCCTGTCCAGACAAAAGTTCTAACAAAACAACGCCGAAAGCATAAACGTCAAGCTTTGGGGTAACCAAGCCATTGAGGGAATACTCGGGAGCCATGTAACCGTGGATTCCTGTAATCTTGACGCTGCGGGACCGTCCGAGGGTTCTTCCTTGAGACCGGCCAAGTTGCGCCATCTGTTGAGGACTGGAACTAGAGTTGTCAACGTCAGGCGTGATCTCTCCCCGGCTTGCTGGATTGGGCAGTACTCCAGGCTCTGCCGCCGTTTCTCCTCGAACTCTTGACAACCCAACATTGGCGATTCTAGCATGCAGGTCATTGTCCAGAATGATGCTGGTGCTTTTGAGGTACTTATGGACAAAAGGTGGGGAAGCGTGCTCATGAAGGTACTCGAGCCCCTTGGCTATGTCGAGTGCAATGCGCAGCCTGACTGTCCACGTTTTTAGGGTTGTGAAACCTGGGACAATGGTGCTCCGCAGGCAATGGCGCAAATTCCCACCAGTGATGTGGTCGTACACAAGGTACAATTGATCCCCACTCATGCAACCTCCAATGAACCTTACAAGATTAGAATGATGTAGGTTACAAATGGTCTTGACCTCGGCAATAAAATCAACATCCATGCATACCCTCTTCTCCACAACAACGACGACACTCTTCCCTGCAAGTGTTCCCTGAAATGAACCTCCTCCGAGTTTCCTCGCTGAGCTAAAATTATCTGTGGCCTTCAATATGTCTCTGTAAGTGAAAATCTGTGGGCCATCTGACAACAAACTCTTCAAGCTCACCAAAGAAATTGCACTACCTGAAGAAGTTTGAGATACCCTAGAACCTTTGGATTCTTTGGAATGGGATTGACTGATACTGCAGCTTGTACTCAAATCCAGACTGCTGTCGTACGGTGCTCTCCTGGACCTCGGTCTGCTTCTCGGAGTCCCAACTTGAGATCCTACCCCTGACGACGGTCGTGAGTGTGGCCGTGATTCTGCCTCCTTGGGCAACCCGCAGCCAAACAGACACATAATGATCAAGTCGCTGGTTTTGGAAAATGGCGTGCACCTTGCCCACAGCAGGACTCCAAATTCAGGTTCATAATGGGAAAGAAATCCAGTAAACGCTTCGAATCAACACCGCGTCAAAGAATTATGTGACCAAAACAGAGGAGGGCCTCACAACTACCGAGCCTCAACACCTCTTAAATTGTGTTCCAAAGAAAATGCCATTTCGAATCCTTTGGGCAATGACCCCTCTCACTGAACATTTCTACGATCAAACCCTGCAAATTTCTGGAAAGCTTTCCTTTGAGCTAGCTAAGTCGAAGAGGCGCCTCAGGGGCAACGCTTACATCTCCACCTGCACAAACTAAAAAGAATGAGGCCTTCGAGTAGAAGAACTCCAACACCACTATCACGTTCTAAACTTTAAATTAATGTGCTGTGCTCAAAGAAAATTGAGCGATTACCTGTTGACCGACAGCTCAGACTCTACAAAACACCCCGAGATCCCAGATCGTACACCCTCTGCAAGATCAAGCTAGAGCGAAGAGGCCCGAGACAATAAAGAGAGCAACGAAACTGGGAACGGCGTCAGCGACCGGGATCGCATGCAAGAATGAGAGACAGAAAGCAAGTGACAACGCACACTGTCCAGCGCAACCTGTACCCACCTATCCCAAAAAACTGTACACGCCAGTGTACAAGGAAGCAGAGCCGCATTTGTAACCTACAGATCTTAAAGAAAACTAACAAAACTAACAACTCCATGAAAGAAGCTGAAACAAGATGAGCAGAGTGCGGGAAACCTCAAGAAGTAACGCGACGACGACACACTCATCGGCACCGCGAACAGTGAAACCATCCACCCATCGGGATTAGTGTCATCACCCAGCTACCCGAGGCACTGTTGTCAGCTGCATATTCTAGTGATATATATATATATATATATATATATTTATGTGTGTGTGTGTGTGTGTGAAGATATATATTTTTATATGTGTATGTGTGAAGATATATATTTTTATGGGTATTGTTTTCCTGGACACAAGCTCCGATCACGAGCTCGGAGAGCGTAAAATCTTTATCGGTAATCTGGCCATCTCGTTCGAAGGAGGACAACTGAACTAAATAGCGACAGGGTTTTCATCTCCTTCATTCCTGTTTGCAAATTGGCCAAGTAAAGTTGCGGCGAAGTAACCACCCATTGACCTCCGATACAGTGCACCCGAATTGGGACCCTGAACGAGTGAGTTAGAGAGGGTTCCACAGACCGCAATGCACAATCAACCAACCCCCTCGCGCACGCATAAATCCCGAAGATGCGGGGAGACGGGCCGAGAACACACCCACAAAAATTAAAACTGTCGGGAAAGCTGGTGCCATGCTGGAGCGAGTCGCCGTCCTCGGGGAGGGGGTCGCGAGGGCTACGTTGTCGCCACCCGGCCCGGCGCGTGTGTGTGTGCTTTTTGTTGGCTTTTCCCCTGATGGTGGAAATTGTAGGCACAGCAATAATACCTCTTTTTAATTATTTTTTTCATAAAAATCCTTATTTGAGGTAATGGGTGAAAATATCATGTTACTATGTGACATAATATTTTGGAGTGTTCTTTTGTGAGCATCGATCTTAATCTGCTAAGGAAATTCAACGTAATTCTTTCAAAATTGAGTAGGTGCGAAGGCAAAGTAGAACAATAAATAAATAAATTCTTTGTGCACCGCAAACAGTTCACAATTGTCAATTTTTTTTTTAAGGGTATTGCTTTTTTTGACTGATGGTTTTGCCTTGCTTTTTAATTATATTCATGCATGTACATGCAGTCACACACTCGTACACACAAGTAAAAAAAAAAAAAAATTCTAAATTAGCTATGAAGCACAGTTGGACTAGAGTGACCAGTTGGTATAGAAACAAAGAATAAGAAAATCGTTAACTACTGGAAATGTACTTTAATTACCATTCATCAACAATACTTAATGATTTTCTCCATTATATATATATATATATATATATATATATATATATATCTAGATTTAGTTAAATCATTTTAAAAAAACAATCACAACTATAGAAGTCATTCACCCTGATTCATACAACATGAACCAACACAATAGACATTTCATGTCCCCCCCCCCACTTGAATATTAAGATGAACATACATCACAACCCTTCACGTTGTTGTACCATATCTTAAGTATACTTAAACAAATCTATGAAGCGCTTCTTAATCCAATCAACATAGAATACGTAGAATACAATAAATAAGAATAAGAATAAAGAAAATAACCCAGGATATCAAGCCTTCAATCCTCCACAACTTTCCAACACAATTGAATAAGTTTCCTGCATGTGTCGAACCAGAGTTTTCCAAAACTGGCATTTTTAACACATAATCTTCTAACACACACATATATGTATTCTTTTTTTTTTTTTTTTTTTAAAAAGAAAGAAGAAAGAGATCTTCTTATACATAGGTGGTTGCATGCGCAATGGAAGGATGGTATGATCTCCACAGCATAATAAAGCACACTATACAGAACAACCAGCCAAAGACACCCAACTACCAACAAGTCCCACTTGGTTATCTTATATTAGATAACACGCATTTTGAGCAGCAAGGAGGACATGTAGTGCACAACAGATGACTCATTTCTGCATATATATATCAAGCAATTAGGATCAGGAAAATTGGGAGAATTTCAAGCGAGGCAAATTGGGCCCTTTTCTATCATGTGGGTTTTCGGTATAGAACGGTGATTTGATTTTGGTATTGTGTAATTTCGGAGTGGTAAGTTGCGGTATTGGCCTGCCTGGATTGCGTGGGGAGGCTGTCCTTCAGTAAGGATGAGGGCGATGCTTCAGCAACATGGCCCACTACTACCGTCCACAAGTCTTCCTCATTTCCTTCAGGTGGTCGCTTCGGCGGTACCGCACTTCTTCGCCTGTCTACCAGCGTGGTGTGAAGAAGCTACAGTTTGTCAGGCCTCTACAACTGTGCCGTTGGAATACCCGTACCCTTTGATTAAGCTCTTGACCGTGGTTTGTATTATCAGCAACATGCAAGCAAAAATAAATAACTTCTACAACCCAATATTTTAAATCCCTTGTGATCTGAAATGGTCGTTTGTTAGTGCCCTGAATTGTTGCACATGTGATGGACATTGTCGTCAAAACCCTTGCAACGTTGCAGTATTGTGGATTCCATATTGATTGCATGAATCTCAGTAACATGTAAAATGAATAATCGTTGTTGTATCAAACTATTAGGTGCAAACAGATGCAGTTCAAAAAAAGAAAGAAAAAAGAAGCTTACATTCTTTAAAAAATACAGCATGTTGGATGAGCCGTACATGTATTTTTAGAAATTGTTTTTTAAGTGTTCTGTTATAGGGTGTCGAGACAAGAAAAGGAGATTTACAAAAGCATGGTCAAGCTGCAGTCCAGTCTTGCCACGCCGAGCTCCGAATCCTCACCACCCAAGAATAAAACTATAAAACACGTTGGAGCAGCGAAACCATGACCAGTTTTTCTGTGTACAAGGGGACAGACAGCCTCGTGTTGGACTAGAAGAACTTCATTCAGTCAGCTGAGAATGGGACGAAGTTTATCTATATGAGAGAAGCGTCATAGAAGTCGCTAAAACGAGGCCCTGTAAAAAGGACCTTGAGCAGCTGATGACACGGCACCAGAGCTTGCTGACGACGATGACGAAAGCAGAGCAAGAGGCCATGTTCCTTTGACCATCCATGGCGCGGGATTCGTGCTGTTGCACCTACCGACTACAGTATTCTAGTTTTGCAGTGATCCACCACAATCTCAAGGTCCTAGACCATGCCGTGTTGTTGAAGATGTGGGTTAGGGCCGATGGATTCTTCCATGCGGTCCTCGTTGTGTAACTTTACCGCCTGGTGTAACCGAGCTTTGCACTTTGAGTAGAAGGGATATTAAAAGGCCCTAATATGCATCACAGGATGTCTTGTTCAAACAAGGCACATGTGTGTTGCTGAGAGCAATCTCACTCAACGAAGAAGATGTCTGCAGTCATCGGGCAGCTAACGAATCCAGCGTCACCCACCCTCCACAATCTGGAGAAGCAAAATTCCATAGCTAGAAACATCCACCCACAAACTAATTGGGAAACATGTTGAAGAGTAATCCGGATTTGAATCACTCCTGTGCTGCTCAAAATCAGTAACAACAACTGGGGTCATTCCTCTGGTGACTTACGCATATGACGAAACTTAAAAAAAAAACGTAATTTGGCAACAGTTCACTCTACTACGCCGAAGTGAGTCAATCCAGACACACGTTCGAAAATGCAACACCAGCCTTCACGCAACATGCATTATGTCTAGGATCTGAGATGTGACGTATTCATAATTGGTATTCTAATGTATAATCCTAGTCTTGTTTGACGAGCGAGATCAAACCTTGAACAGTGAAGTAGGACACTACGCTAAAGAACAAAGGGTCATAATATCGATACTCTAAAGATTACCCTGTCCTTGAATTTGAGAAAACCCTGAATCTGATCAGGTGCTAACGAAATAGCAAGCTTTTCGAGGAGATGTACAACATTTTCCATAAACGCAGGCAGAGGCTCCTGTTCTCATGTACCCGGAATGCTCAAGATGGACTAGATTATTTTGGGGCACCAGTGATAAGAATTCCATCTCATTTTTAAGTGGCCGTTCGAATAAGTGACCGTTCGATGAGGTACTTTGTTCTATTGCTTTCACTGCAACCATCGCACCTGCTATCGTTAAGTAGCCATTGTGTACTTGCTCAAACACAAAGAATCTAACAGTTGGTATGAATTTCGCTAATGTTTCCATACAAGCCTGTAAATCAGGGACTAGCTTGGTAGTCGACGTCCGTAGAAATCAACATGTATATCCACTTATAAATTCATGGCGTCCGAGTATTTACAAACTGCGGTTCAAAACTTGTACGATTCTTCATTACATCCCGCAATTCTTAGTTGGAAAAGAACGGGCAAATTTGACTTCTTACAAATCAGTCACGAGCGCAATTTGTGTCGCACTGTACTGTGAGCTGTCTCTCTGGTCGCAACTACTCGTCATTCTTGTGATGCGGGGACTGTTGAAACAATGAACTGCATAACTGCGCATGAATCCACTCGTAGTTGAAATTTTTGCGCAACTTCGATGGAGTGTTTAGTATCAATCGTCAAATGTTTTTTTTTTTTTTTTTTTTTTTTTTTGTGCTCAACATGAATGTCTCTTCCGACTGGATTCAGAGCTTGTTAACATATTTAATGAAACTCCTGGACTGGTCATGAATTTGCCAAGTCTTCGAAAATGATCTGTTGAGATTGTGTGAATGCAGAAGATGGCCCAAGAATGATCTTAATCAAGATCTCATCGCGAGAGTCATGCTGCTGCTCATAAGCAACCCTCTACAATCAACTATCCATTCATCTGCCGAGCTCTGAAATCTGAGCACGTTAGTTGCTTCAAAAGTAGGTGGAATTTTATAGCGCTGCTCAGCGAAGGTTGCTGTTTCATGCCCTCGACCTGACAACTATTCCTATGAGGATAGAGTTTTGTGCCATTAACACAGTCCCTAACTGGAATTAGGCCAGAATATTCAAGCAAAAGTTTGAATTCAATAATCAATGATCAAGGACAGTTGTTTTCCAGATCCTCAAGAAACGGATTTTTGATGTAACTGTAAATCCCTTATACCATTTGCAAGCATCAAAATCAAAATAGCGTAAGGGGTGAGATGAGATTTGGAATCTGCTGAGCACGTTTGCGAAAGTGCTAGCCACCTGAAACG